TGTCGAAACGTTGTACATTTGCTGTTATGTTAAACTTATATTAAAGTTTTTCTTCATTACCCATTCAAGCCGTCTCCAACCATTATTAGTCTCAAAGTGGGTTCCTCGTCATCGAATTTGAAACCATAACAATCTTCGCTTCCTGATGGCTTACATCACTGAAATTCGGAGTTCGATGAGCACAACAAACAAACAAAGAACTCATGTACCATTAAATTTCAAGAGGTTGTTAAAGTGTTTCTAGCTTACAACAGCACAAGAAAAAGTCTAACCTTGGCCTTCTTGAAACATGCTACTTGAAGTATGATAAAACAAAAATTATCTTATCAAAACGAAACAGCAGTTGCAGAAAATATTTGAATATTTGGGCCGACATTGAAAACAAAGTTTAGCAACAAATATGTCACTGAATATAATTATCTTGAATGTAGTCCTGTATAATAACATTTTATCATCATTATTTATAGTTAGTTGGTTCGTACTGGTATCATACACGATATCTTTAGCTGTGTAACAGTCACGTTGGTGTTATTGCATACATATAGCTGTAATTATACACACATTCACATCGTCTGGCGAGCTCGCCTTAAATGGGACTTATTAAGCACGTACCACGTACTTACGTGTCACGCGAGTAAGTTGAGATGTAACAGTGAAAACTTTGCTTGCTCATTTTAAAAGTTATCTTGTGTAAACGAACCTATATTAACAGATATGCAAAACAGAATAGTAAAGAGTTAGTAAACGAGATACACGATCAGAAAAAAAAACACGTTTGAAATAGTAAGATAATGAGGTAGTTATGTAATTTCATAGAAATATGCGCATACTAATATAAATGCTTGAATATCAATATATCAAATACCAAATCACTCGGGGATATATATATATATATATACATTACAGATACACTCTACGAGTGTTTATTATATCACAGACAATCAATATACCCTATTGAAATTCACCAGCTTAAGAAATCGTCAGAAAATGACCGAGAGAAATCTCATAAATGTCACCAAGCTGTACCTAAAACTTACATTTTAATGTACTTATAATAATAATACAGATAGTAATTTAGGAAATTGAAATTTTCATAGTTATTATATCGGATGTTTTAAACAAATTTTAGCAACATATCGGGGTGTTTTACTGAATCTATAAACATCCTGCACTCTCCCTGCCCGGTAGAAGGAAACGGTTCTAAACTCGTACTACAAAAAACAGTCAGGGAGTTATAAATGAAAACTAGAAATATGAATAATTATTGTTATTCGCATAACTAACAACACACTTGACTTTTATGGTGTTATGTATGTATTTTTGGTTCATGTATAAACATCAAAGGTTTAGTTTGTATGTACATTATTTTTATTATTGATAAATTAAAAAATTACAAAAGTTGACAAAGCATAAGCTTAATACTTTTAACCTACAGTTTTTATTCCTCGCTTGTTGCTTGTTATGCATTTTTTAAATAAATATATTTTTTGAAAGAAATATTATACGTACAGATAAGTGAATAGATAGTCTCATCTTGTAGATATTCTCAAATACAGAGTGGTTTATCTCATTTTATAAGAATTGATTGCGTATGCTAATCAGTTGCATATCGTCGCAGGTGCGAACCGTAACGCCATGGGCAACATACTTAGTGTTATAATATATGATTTGCAACGAATTCCAAACATAATGAAGGTACAATGCGGTAAAGTTATGGTCAGAGGTTAAGTTTGAGCCTTTTACGAAGGGAAGGATTTATTCGCGTAGCAAAATTGTTAAACAATTTACAAACAAAGGACGTAAATTACACAGGTCTGCAAATTTAAACTTCATAAAAATCGTTTTGGTTTTTAAAACGGGTTTTCCATAACCCAGTTACGCAGCTTTCGAAAATAATATTTATTTTTTTTTCGATCACGTAAGGATTGCTTAGAAATCGGGAAGAAAAAAAACTCTTACTTAGATC